AAAAAAAACAAGATTTCATAAACCACGTAAGCGCAGAATCATGGCCGGGCAGTTAGAAGCTTGGGTATCCGTATGGCGACGACAAGCGCAGCTATTCTCTGCCTGTTGTTCGATTGTTGCTCTTTATGACTTCTCAAAAGTCAAACTTTTTCTTCATTTTATTATGTTTAACAATCAGTGTTCTGTGGGGAATTTGTGTTTAAACAAATTATCTTCCTAGGGTTACCTTGTTGTCCTAAAAGTTTTTTTATGGAAGCTAAAACATAAGAGAAAAAAAACGACCAGCAAGTATTATTTGTGATTATACTAAATTAACCTTCGTATTTCAATAATTCTTTTCCTTTTTTTCTCATACGTTTTTATTCTGCTGAGTGAAAGCGCAACATTTTTCACGTGTCTTTATGTTTCCATTTCTTTCTTTAATTATGAAATTACTGTGTCATTGAGGATTTTCTCCAGTAAAGTAAGCCTTTTTTTCTCTCTCTCTCTTTTACAGCCTTATAAACTGGGCCACGAAACAGACGAAAAGATGAAGTTATCAGACTAGACTGTTGTCAAGCTTGAAAAATATAGTTATAAAAACAAAGGGATGAAATAAAATCAACAATATTCTTTTTTGTTTTTGAGTATTGCTACCTTATCTGCTGCCGCTGCTGCTGTTGTTGTCTTTGTTCCGATTGTGACACTCTTATGTTCCAAATTATTAACAAGAAAACTTCTTATGTTTTTCTTCCAGCAAAAACTTCTGTTAACTTGAAGAACATATTGGTAGACAAGATATTTTACTAGAAAAAAAAACAACATATTTAGCAAATATATTTTGAAGTTTATATCCTTGAAAGAAAACTGAATCTTTGAGTCGGCATTTAGATAAACAGCAATTTTCTTTTTTTGTGGCTTCGAAATTACAAAAAATTGTTGAGATGATTTCGCCTATAAATAAATCTAACTGACTGTTGTTCTAATCTGCTTACTGTTTTATCTACTTGGTTTATACTCGACAATGTGAAGAACTTTTCACAACTGATATTTGTATACTGTTGTCTGGCTACAGTCAGTTGCGGTCAGCTACAGCAGCTGATATGAACAGTAAAAGAGGAGGGGAAAAATGGAAAAAGCCAGATTGAAAAATGAGATAAATGGCTTGCTATAAATGAAGGCCAAAGTGGCAAGGGGCATTCGATATTGTTTTTGCACCATCTATCCCACTTTACCACTACAAACAGTTGCTCATTTTGTGCTTTATTCTGAAAATTTTTTGCTTTTTTTTTCTTTCATTTAACTTTCTGTACATCTTTCAACAACAATCTTGTGATTATCAGCTGTGCTTCGATTGCTTGCTAATTTATATAAATGATTCCTTTTCTGCGCAAAAGTGTTTTATCATTATTAATATCAAAAGATGGAAATGTTGCAGTCGTAGCACATATAATTGTCTTATTCCAGGATTACAACATCAGTTTCGTTGGGGATGTCAAATTATTTTTTTGAGAATTGTACACTTCATGTTTTTTTTTTTAATTGAACAACATGTTATCAATGTTGATTGTTTAGTAGATTGTATAACATACCGCTGCAACATCTTTCTCTTTTGGCGAAAAAAAGTGAGAAAAAAAGCATTTTACAGTGCAGCTTGTTCTTTTTTTCCATTCTGCTTGATAGAGATTGGAACTTTCGTAGTCGATGGGTATGCACGTTACACACCTTTAGCAAAACTAAAAAGAAACAATTTTTTTTTGTTTTTTTCTAACAAGCGTCTGTTCTTCCAGAAAATAAGTGGTGAACAGTTTTAAAGAGTCCAAATTAAATCACCTAAAACGCACTTCATTATCAGCAACAGTAAGCAGGCATTTAGCTACTGTAAAAATACAAAGGGGAGTATATCTTGTTAATGGTTTTATAAACAGCTAGCTATTTAAGACTAACTATTTGCACTGAGGTTATTATAGATGTGCTTAAATTATTTCAGTTTTATCTAATTCTCAGTACCTGTTGTTGTCGTTGTTGTTGCCTTGATCTTTGTTATTTATGGAGGACTGATAATGTTTTCTTATTCTTCACTTCTGGCTTTTATCTTTTATATTTCCAGAGCGGGAAGGAAAAATGAGAGTTCTACTAATTGTGGCTGCTGTTTTATTGTTGGTTGACGGGGAGAAGCAGTACATGCTTAAAACTAACAAAACCCCAAAAAGTCCATTATCCTCGAATAGCGCCGTTTGTGACGAATGTAAAATGGTATGTTAATTAAAAATATATAACAAAACGACTTCTCTTTCCAGCTGAAGCAACTTCAATGCTCACGCTTTTTTCTAAAGCCTGTTTCGTAGTTCATCCAACTTATTTACCTAAATTTGGTATACTTTTTACACGGTTATCTACTGAGTGCGCAGAAAAATGAAACACTAAACATTTGACCATTCAGCTTGTTGCCCGTTTTGATAAAGCTCTAGAAGATCCGGAAAAGGTCACTGAACTGAAAGCCATCTTGCGTATGCTTTGTCACGAAACGTCGTATGTTGAAGAATGTAAAGTTTTTGTTGGTAGACTGGACTATTTTATTGAACACATTAAACCATATTTGGTAACTCAGTTTCTTTCTTCTTACTGTTTTTAACTATATTTTGTAGTTAGTGTCTAGAGGACTTGACGTTTAAGAGCGTTCTATTAGCTCAGATTTGGTTATCTTGACTGTTTAGTAAATGTTAACTGTAAATTTATTGAAAGGTGACCATCTCGAAGTGTTTCTTTTGTAAGAGATTGTTTGTAGCATTCAGTCGCTTTACAAAAATCATTTGCTGAGTTCCTGATGTTTTGGATGTAAACTGTACAAGCAGATTTTTTAAAGAAAAACCCGGAAGAAGCATGCAAACATCTGCGGATGTGCTCCAACAAGAAAATTGAGACATTTCACAGAGTCAGCCTTGCGTACATGGACCGTTTTAGAGACTACAACTCGATGAAGGTAGTGGCATAATTGTACTCTGTACTTCAAAATCTTTAACCCTTATGGCCTAATTTTATGGATATTGAGAAAATAGAGCACTTTGCTGTCATTCAGAGTAGCTTGCTCTGCGAAGAATGCGAATTTGCCGCAACCGAGTTGAAAACCGTTGTTGAAGATGAAAGAAGCCAAAAGAAAGTTAAAACGTTTCTTTCGCACGAAGTATGTAGTCGTCTTCGTCGGTACCAAGGTTCGGTAAGCATAATCTCTAATTTTTCAATTCTTAAATCTTTGTTTTTTTTTTTGAACATAAAATTTATTAATAACAGGTTTTTTTTTGATTAGAATCTTTGTGATTTAAAATAGTTAATCATTTAGTGTGATTTAATGCTTGACGAATTTCTACCAACGCTTTTCGAAGAAATGGGCAAGATGTTGACCAGCACTAAACAGGCAAGAATCTTAATGCAGCATTATGGCGATTTAAGTGTTGCAGGATAATGAGTTGCAAATTTTAGTTTTGTTCGGATATTGGATTGTGTAGAATGACGGACAGTGATGAGGACTCACTGGAGTCGAATTCAAACGAACAGGTCAGTGTGTTCAGCAACTTCCGCATTTAAGCTCACCACGAAATGAGCTCGAGCAGTTATATTCTCCTACATATAAGTCATTGAAAATTGTTTTTGTGATGCGATTGTTTTTTTTCTTGCTATACTTTTACGGTTACAAAAAACAATTACACTTGATTAAATTATTAAGATTTTTCTAGGCTTCATCTATGTTAGCCAAATTTTGTAGTAATTGTATGCTTTGAGTCGAAATAAAAGATCCGTGATACGAGCGTTCATATTCAAGAAAATAAGTAAAAGCCAGAAATGTGCATTCGGTTAATTGTGAAAGAATTCTAGTTAAAATCTGTATACGTCTTAGTTTACTTCTTTTTCAACGCTTATTTTTTAAGAGACGATCTGACAAAACGCAGAGAACCTTGTACATACTAGTGGTTATCAAACTTTTACACAGCACAGTAGATAACAGGAAGTTTTTGGAAAAACAAACAGCGATTTATCTTAAAAGGGCTGTAGAGCAATCTACAGGTGACTTAAAAAATGCCACATTCTGTGGTTCAACTGGTAGGTTGTTTAACGCATTGACTTAGTCATTTTCTTATTGCACTGTCAGAAAGTTGTATTGTGACTGAAGGTGTCTGCAGATGATGACTGACAGTAATATTTTAATTTTTTCAATTATTCAGAATGATTTGTGCATAATGAGATCCTGCTTGATGCTTGATGGAAGCAAATTTTATAAGTGTAGAAACGTATCAGGTTGTGATGGGGGAACAAGAATGTTGCAGTTTTAAGACTATTTTGACCTTAAGTTGGAAAAGCAACTATAAGAGGGTTGCGATGCTGTGAAAATACTACGTTACCGTCGCGTTAGCGTATATTAATGAATTTGTAAGTGGCAAGTATTTGAGGAGTATTTGTGCACATGTCATTGACGTTTAGTGCCATTGATCAAAAACTTTAAAATAAAAGTGATTAAATTATTCTGCAGGTGTTAATGAACTGACGACATGAGTGCCACTTGATAGCCAATTTAATCTTATGTTTCAACTCTTTATCTTGCTTTTTAAGGCGATTAAAGCATGGGGAACGGAGTAGGTTAGTGACGTTAAAGACACGGGGACGTGCTGTATAACTTGCTCGAGATATATTATATAAGCTGAGAAATTATGTTTAATAGAGAAATACGAATTTGTGTTTGACTTTCTTGTTTTATATTAACAATGAAAGAAACTTATTGAAGACTACTGTATTGCTTTGTGAAGGTACCTTTAAAAAAGAAATTTTTCCGCAAAAGATTAAAAATAAATTCAGTCTTGTGGACAGCAGACTTAGCCTGTTTGAATTTTGTTTGGATTATGCATGAAATACCAGATTGACTTCCACCTTGCAGACGTTTGTCAGACCTATATAATAAGGACGTTTATTTTCTTAAAACGTCATAAGTTTAATTTGCTTTCGAAATGGTTAGTGGAAGTAACGCTATTAAAATACCGCTAATTATTGTATCTTAGGTTGCAAGAAAAACAAAGCAACAATTATATGCTCGTTATGCGAGCAATTAAGAAAGGACTTCAGCGATGGTCTTAAAAATCCAGATTTTGAGCAACAGCTGGAGAATTTTTTAATGGAAGATTTCTGCACTAAACTGCCAGAAACGATCACTGCTTTGGTTAGCATTAAAAACAATCTTTTCTAGTGAACTTTTTATAAGCATCAAATACGGTGTTCAAAATATTTAAGAATACAATGAATTTCTAGGCGGTTTGAAAAGAATTAACATTGTTGCCATTATTGGCTAAGCCATTGAAAAGTTGATAAATTTCTGTATCTTTCCGTTATCTCATTTGTAAAAAGTTACTGCGGTTTAGAGGAACTAAGTGCTACGAAATTTAGTGTGAAAACGTAGTGATCACTTATTTGCCGAAACTGGTAGCACGAGCACAAACCTATGCATCCAAAGAAGATTTTTGCCAAAATGTATGATTTACAATTACAGCAAAACAGTAATTATTGTTTTGTTTATATGTCATTTCTTTCTCTTGTTTTCTTACCGTACCAATACATATGAAGAAAATTTAAAAATTTTAATTTTAAAATATGCTGTTGTTGAAAAGAAATGGATTTAATTTTATTTCAGAAACTACGCATTTGTTGAGTACGACTCTCAGTGGTTTGACATTTAGCAGAAAGCTGTCGACAATGAATAACGATTGTTGGTAAAACAACGAATTCAAATGAATACTTTATAACTTAAATATTTCAGCTGCGGTCACAACTGTCATTCAAATGAATTCAGCAGTTCCCTTCTTCACTACCCAATCCTCCAGTCGCTTTTTCCTCACCTCCTCCCCCCCTCGCTCCAATTCTCCGAAAGAGGAGTTTTATTGCAACCGTAAATCATGTATTATATCTTGAATAGCGATCAAAAAATAAATTTT